TCCCCCTTTTGTCTTGACCATTGTGTCTGCAGGCACTGAGTACCTGATTTCTGCGTAGGGTTTGCTCGCCTGCCTTCCCTTTCCATCTGCTGCTGTTTGCTCAGCCCCCTGCCAGGGCCCTGTGACTGCCAAAAGAATTGTTACATGGGTCTGGCATGGTTCCAGCATTTTACATATATATATATATGTATATATGATATATATATATATATATATATATCCCAATGGTGGCCTTGCTGTGCTGCTTTTGCTGTTGGGCTGGAGGTTTGGGCTTTTTTTTAAAAAAACAAACAAACAAATAAGCCTGAGTTGGTGACTGATTTTGTTTTCTTTTAATAAAGATCAATTTCATATTAATGCTTTATTCCATTGTATGCATAGAGTGAAAATAATAGCAAGTTTTAATGCTTAGTTTGTTTGAGCTGCAAGTTTTTTGTACTCATCATGTGAGTGCAAAAAGTTGTACTGCAAAAGCTAGGATGAGAACCTTCCAAAATAATCCCATTGCAAAGAGGGAGAAACCATTAGCAGAAGAAAGCTAATCCTTCCAGGGCATCAGCAGCTCCAGGCTTCGGGTGGATGCCCCTCGGGAGCAGCCACGTAGGTCCCAGGAAGAGGAACTACTGAGAGGAGATGCCTGATCAGAGGCCATGGGTAGGTCTCCGAGTCTTCGGTACTAACACCATCCTGGCTGTGACCAAGTTACACAACAAGCATGTGTTGAAATATGAAATATTTGAGAAGCCTGAATTGTGCAGTACCTGCTGGGAGGAGAGTACTTGATATAATCCAGCTTGAAGTACTCCAGCAAAGTTACCTGTGTGGTTTATTACTGCTGTTAGTTTGCACTGGGTAATTGATCCCCTTCTCTAATCTTTGATAGCTGTTTCCAGATGAAAAAAAACAGGCTAAGAGCACTGCTTCCTCCTTGGGTCTGCTCCCTATGGCGTGACTAGCGAGCTTTTTAGTTCCTGACCATGCTACATACCTCGGATCTGGAAATAAACTCAGTCTCTTAGCAATGCTCATGTGTGCCGTGCCCTTATTGCAGTTCCAGGAGGGCTGGAAGACCATACATTATTTTTCAGGGCAGTGTCCCTCTGTTACTACACGCCTTGCTCGCTGTGATGTTTCTGCCTATTGCTGGGTCAGTTTGGCAGAGCTGCTCATGCAGCAGGACCAGCCCAGCAGTGCCGGCTGCGTAGCCACAGATGGCAGGAGCAAGGAAAACAAGGTGGGCTAGATTCTTCCCTGCAAGTTTCAAGGGGTTCTCAAAGCAGCTTCTAAAACACACTTTTGTTCCTACTGGGGTGCATGTGAATGTGTATGTGTGTATATACATGTATATCTGTAAAGCTGTATCAGCTGCAACCTTTTAAATGTACCCAGAACCTAATTCAAAATGAAGAAGCAAACAGAAACGCCACTCTTCATGAGTTCTGCATTCTTGTTCAAACGTAATTGGTTTTGTATTGGTGTTGGCCCCAAACAATTTAAACAACTTCATTGCAAGCAGCAGAACTTGGTGTTACTTGCCAGGGACGATATAAAAATCGTTTGGAATTTGAAGAGGGATTGATATCAGGGTTGGAAAGCAGACTGGGGAGAACTGGGAATCAAAATGTTATTGGATCTTTTAATTGATAACCCAGAAACTATGAATCACCAGAAAACTTGACAATAATAAATACCTGATGCAGAGCTTTACAACACACTTTAATTTCTGAAGAGCTAAATGTCTACAGCAAGAACAGAAGTTGTCTCTTACCTTTGTCATTTTGTTGTCATGTACCCTGTCCTCCTGGAGTTGCACCCTCTCTTGATGAGCATCTTGTGTGATGACATATTTACAGCAAAAGAGATTATTTTCTGTAGGCAGGGAGCAATGGTTTTCTGTATCATGCCCAGATTTAGAGGTACCCCGTAGTACTTTTGCATGGTGCCTCTGCTGCGTTGGTGTGTGCATGACTTTCCTTTCAGAAATAAAAGCTCAGGAGCGCTCATAGGTTGCTGCTGATTCACCGCTATAGATTTCCATGAGAATAAACCTAATCTTCGTTGTCTTTGACAGCTGGGTGGGAGTTAGTTGTTTCGGTAGCAATCCAGAATAGTAGGATCCATTTCAGCCTCCAGTGTGAGGAATACAGACTTCTAATCTGGAGCCTGAGAAATGTGAAGTTCAGGTTTTCTTAAAATGCGGTTTCTCATCCTTTTGTTTGCAAAAGGCTGAACAACTGCCTATAGAAATATGCTATTTTACATATTGCAACTGGAACTTTCTCTGTATTTATCTATCTCTATTTTTTTTTTCTGCTGAATCTGAAAGTAGTGAAACCCTAAGACGTGGATCCTTCTTATTTTCGATGGGTGCACATGACCTGTTGCTGTTTCACCTGCTCCTGCTTCTGGCCCTGCTGGTAATTCCTTCCCTGCCAAAAGGACCACAGCCTGATGTTCAAATGCATTTTTAGAGTGCGGTGGATCCAGCCACTTGATCTCTTTGAATTTATTTCCCAGCATTTTAAGTATCCACTTGCCATACAAAAGTGCTGTAGCTGTTAACACTATGATGCTGACAAAGCGAGGCTCTCCTAGGCTCAGGGAATAACGTTTCCCTGGTCTGTAATCTAGAGAGAGAATTGCCCTTAGCAGCAGCGCTGTTGTCCTGAGAGCTTCCCAGGAACAGCTGCATTCTGATTGTGCAGTCGGTGGCTGGAGGTGGAAGAAAGGATCCACCTTCCCCGTAAGATGATCTAGTTAAATGTTTGTACCACGCGCAATTGTTTCATACAGTAAATTCCCAGGGATTTGGCCATGTTTGATTACATTTTAGTGGATGGCACCTGACAAAATGCTTTGTAGACTTGCAGGGATGTGAAGGTGGCTAATCTAGTAGTGGCGATTAGTAGCCAGACTGTGAGCAGATGATAGGCTTAGCATTGCAAAAGCAGTCGGCTCAGTATTACTGCCCTTAGTTTCCAGAGTGGCCAGTAATAAACTCAGAGGCTCAATCTGCTCCCGAGTAGAACCAATCTCAAGCTAGTGTTGCATCATCTCTTTCCACAGAATGCTCCAAGGCAGAAACATATTTTCGGTGTTATCATTATTTTACATTGAATGCATAATATATTAAAGCTGTAGCTTGCCCTGGACAGCCTTGGTTTGCAATCTCTGTCCTGAAGTCACCCAAGGCAGTGCCAGGAGCTGGTGTAAATGACTGTGGGCTCCCTGCCGATCAATCATCAGATTCTACCATGTCAGGTAGATGGTTCCCCCTTCCCGTTTTTAAATCTGTTCTATTTCTGTTTCATTTGGTGTAGTTGACAATTTTGAATATCCTTTTAATTTTATTAAAAAAACAAAAAGCAAAACACAAACCAAGCAAAACCTACCTAGGGACTTCAAGCGTGGAGAACAAAACTTTACTAGCAAAGCAGTTTGAATGAAATCATGATTCTTTATGCAAATACACACGCTATTCCAGATTAGACGAGGTAGGTGGGTGCTTAATAATGATTTAGTAACTGCAGGCCGGGATCAAGTATACATGTCCCCGTGTGAAGTCCCCTTGCCCCTCCCTTGCCCCTTGTACCCCACAGGACATGTCTTAAGCTATACCAAAATGGCTTTTTTTAAAATATATATTACATGTAACATACACTCAAATATATAGCTTGTAGTCAGAGTTTTGGCTGGAAGTAATATGACTAATCTTTTTTTGAGGCTATCAGTATAAATAGTCAATATAATTAGAGAACATGAGTTTTCAGAGACAGGTCCTTGTGCAGTCTCTTAGGTCAGGGTGTTGTTCTGAGGCTTTACAGGTACAGCCTAGGCCAGCCTGTTTTAAGCTGGACCGTAACCCTTTCTGGATGACATATCCAATATATTGATGCAGAGAAAAGGTGGTGGGAACCTCCTTCAAGAATACACCGATGCTCTTGCCATTGCTTTTATTTGATGCAATGGTTTGGCTTCAAGTCAGTCCTGTTTGGTTTTAGTCTTTTGTGGTAGCACTGAAAAAAGCTTCTTCCTTCCAAACTTCAGGTTAAAGCAGTTTTGAAAAGTTACAGCTGCTCCTCTTTCGCTGTTCTTGATGAAATGTGTGGCACCATAATGGGAAAGAATGAACAAATGTTTTATCAACTAATGTCATATGCATCAGTTCCAATAGTCAGGTATATAAAGGAACTAAAGAGTCTGCAGTTGGATTGGCTTCCCATTCTGCCTCTTTAGCCGGGAGAAGCTACTTACATAAAAGCACAAAGAAAACAGTCTCAGCTATTGTTGCTTCTTGTAGGCTGGGTGAATGTGCTAGTGAGAAAACATTACCCCAAATTTTAATAAGGAGAAGTGACACTGAGTTTATGCATATGACTGTTTCCAAATACTGTAGGAAAATAAAGCAAAACCAAGCTAGCCTTGTGTTCTTGAGGCTGTTTTTACCCTGCAGCCCTTCTTTGCTCACAAAGCACTTGAATTAAATTTGGGCAATTCAGCGAACTTGGTCAGATACAGAATTGATTTATAGATGCTGCTGTTAAAAGATGGCTGTGTGCGCATGAAGCTGGAACCGTGGAGCCCAATTAATCAGAATCCCCCCTTCCGAGGTACTTCTGCAGATGTTTAAGGTCTCTGTGGTTCAGTTCATGCTATCCACTTAGCTTCAGATGCACTTAAAAGCATACCAGTTCTTAAGAGAAGATTCCTTTTAAAAACTTAGTTTTTATTGCGATCTAGAAAACATCTGTAATGAATGGCTTGCCTTTAACCTTTTTTGTTTCCCCCCTCAAAAAAAAAAAAGTCTTAGATTTTATCGCAATCTAGAAAATATCTGTAATGAATGACTTGCCTTTAACCTTTTTCTGTTTCCAAAAAAAAAAAAAAAGAAAAGAAAAAAAAAGAAAACTAAGAAAACTATAGCTGGCTTAGTGTGCTGATACAGTTCCTATGTTTGCAAGAATCCTTGTGCTCTTATAGGTAAGAGGCAAAGGAGTGACCACTTCCCAGAGTTTGTCAGCATCCCTTCTGGAACTCCATCATGGAAACTCTCCTCAGCTACTGTGTTCAAACTTAGCTGAATTCATTCTTATCTTCTAATTATCTTCTAATTCCCTTCCACAAGGTAGGGCAGCCGTCTTGGACTGCAGCAAAGAAATGCTCGGGTGTTTAGTTCTGCTGAACGTGCTGTGGGGAGCTACCCTAGGGGAGTAGCAGAAACAAAGAGCTGGGGATGGAGATGAGGAGGGACAGGGCATCACAGGCAGCCTCTTCTTAGAGATTTGGCTGTAGCCTGGAGTTTAATATCAACTGCATGCTAAATGCTCCGTAAATACCTAGCACTTGCTGCATGTTGCATGCAAACACATAAAGTTTTATGACACCTCATCAGATCTTCATTCATCAATCAAAATGAGATTGTTTTAGTTTCAGTGTAAACGTGTAATTAGAGCCCTTAACACTGTCTGGTTTGGGGTTCACAACCACATTACAACAACTTGCAATGGAAAAGGACATTGGCTGGGCTTCCTAAGGTGACAACTGCTGACAGGCTTGGAGGATGTTAAAAATTGGCCCCTATCTGCTCTCAAGTGAGTTCCATGTTTGCACTTTCCTGTATCCCCATAGGGAAGTTGCTGCTAAGAACGTGAGTGCAGAAGGTCTCGTGATAGTGATTAGAGAATATGTTCCACGTGTGTCCTTCTCTGCTCGCTCTGGTGGGAATGGACTGTTTATATTGTTGAAATTGTTAATGCAGTTAAACGATCTTCCAGCATGCAAACCGATGTCATTCCACTCTGTTAGTGTCCCTTGGCTAGAAGTGAACGCTTTGATGTAATTGTATTTGAGTTGCTTTATAATTTATTAACAGTTCCATTAAAATACCATGGATGTCTGCTGCAGTGAGGGAGTTGCACAATCCACAGTAGAAAAGACGTGAAGTTTCACAAAAAAAGAGCTTTGAAGTGCTTTCTCCATTTTTGTTTTCCCTTCACCTTTGGATTCTCCTTTGTAAAGGAAAATGGATCCAGTTCAGCCTGCGGTGATACCATGTAGGAAATCAGCTAGGGCTTCTGAGGTGTAGAACTTACTGCCTTTCTTAAACATATATTACAAAATATTCCTGTTGTATAAACCACAATAAACTGTTAGCTGTCCATACAGAATAGCATTATTATAGATATGGCTAAAGTATAAACACGTGCCTTTGGAACAGCACGTGCTGAGAGCTCAGCTCCAGCTCTGCCACGAGAAACTCACGGCTTCTATTGCGGTGAGCTCCCTGCTTGCTCCTTCCCTTGTGGTGTCCCTGAGATGGAGCTGGATGGTCAGACTGCAACGACAGGAAGCTTAGGAATTGATTTAGTTGCTACACAGCTGATTACACACTCTAATGAATTGATTTTATGCATTAAAACATATATTATTTTTTTTCTAGTATAATGTATTGTGGAAAATCTGGGAATTGTTTTTCTTACATTTGACATCTTATTTAGTAAATGATCTCTCCAGAGAGCTGAAGGTTGCACCTTCTGTGTTCTTATCTTCTATGCAAATCCAGCAGAAGAATCGTTTCAGTCTCCTTTGTGTGGGGGCTCTTAAAAGCAAAATCGTTTTTTTGTGTGTATGCAATTACTGTGTGACAAATGTACATGACATCCTGTGCAAGCAGCAGCAACGTTATTGCACAACTGGAGTAACAGTGATTAATTTTTGACAATATATTTTGAGACATGGCGAATTTTAGAGCTCATTTATAAATCTTACTTAAAGCTGAGTAAATTGCCCCCCAAGAGATGTTGCTTTTTTTTTTAATTAATTGTGCATAGATATTAAACATAACATTTTTGTAGATGTCATAAAATAGTTGCTGTGGTCCCATTTCAGAGTTTAGACTCATATCCAGTGTCATCACTGTGTGCAACAATGTATAGAGGGAGTTGTGCTGCTAGACACTCTGTTTTGCATGGACGTAAAAGGTACGTATGGCCATCCTTGGAGAGGGTAAAATGTCTACAACCTTGTCTTTAACAAAAAAAAAAAAAGAGAAAAGCAAAACAAAATGGATGTGTATATATCTATATTTAATTGAAATGACTGTCATTTGATGTAAGATCTGGTGTTTAAAATACTTTTGTCTCTGCTTTTACCTGTCTGTTCATTGTACTACTAGCTTGTTATTTTGTCATTTTTTTCCGTTGATGGTGTAAAGTAAAATAATACTGTATCCTGAGTTTTTTCTGTATTGTTTTTCTTTTAGATACTTCAAGAAGTGTAAAGGCATCTCCAGAAACAGCTGAAATTTTTTTTCAGAAGTTAAGAAATAAGTATGAATTCACAGTCTTGGTGACCTTAAAGCAAGCCCATTTAAATTCAGGGGTTATTCTTTCTATTCATCATTTAGATCACAGGTAAGTACGGCTACCTGTATGCTAGTAAATGAAAGTGTATGTTTGTGCAGTCAAAAGTTGAACATAAATTAAAAAAACTGGTGTGTAGCAGGTTGCTTACAAATACTTATTCTTTGTGTGTGTATGTGTATCATACCAATTCATAAAAATTCATATATCCAAATCTGCCAAGTAAAAGTGGAACAGCCGTCACTCTTTAGATGTCTCTTGCCACTAAGGGCATGAAAAGCCAGTTCTCTCCAGTTAAGAACCACGTTCTGGGCTGGTGTAAAACTCAGTCATATCACTGATTTGCAAAGCCTGTGGCCCTGGCCCCATCAGTGCACTTCTCACCAGCTAATTTTTAACACTGCCAAAAAGGAGTGCGTGTCAGTCTTTATTTTTCTTAATTTTTATTTTTTAATTCTTCTAAGTTGTAGGCATACACTTGCAGTAAATGGTAGAGTACTTAACTGGGAATTCTGTTGGGCTTTAAAGGACTAAGGCAAATGACACTGAGCATTGGAGGATTCATTCATTATGATAGGATAACAACTGCTAGAGATAGGAGTTATTCTTTATATATGCATCCGAGTAGCTGCTGTTGAAGATAACCATCCTGTGATTCTGTAACACAGAAAAAGGAGTAAAAAAGCAGTTTAAGAATGTGCACCTTCTAAGCAGTTATCTGCACAAGCAGCAGATGATCTCTGCATTAGGTTTTAGGTCCCATAATACATTTTCTTAACAGTCTTCCTGCCAAAATAAAAGAAAAATTAAGGCAAAGGGAGGTGTTTGAGGAAAAGCAAAATAATTGTCGCTCTTACGAGTGTACAAGTTTTCATTAATAGGTGTCAGTTTTGGTCTAGATGGTACAGTAGTGTCTTTGCACTATTTCCCAGAGGTCTCATCTTCTTCAAAATCTTAAAAACCAAACAAACAAAACGCAAGGATCATTATGCCAAGTTTATAGCAGCATCTTTAAGCATTAGAGGAGTGCTCGAATGCCTCCTGGTTGATGTTTATTGATTTATTATATCACAGAAGAGCCATGTGGCTTGAGGCATCCCTTGGGAAAACAACCAGTCCTTGCAGTAAGACTGGACAAACAGACCTGCTGGTGGTCTTATGAGATTCAGAACCCATTGGATTGCAGTCGGAACAGGGAAGAGGAGAGGGTAAAGGCAGTGTTTGTTGCCAGATCACGTGGCCATACGAACAGAACAGTTAGTGACTGGAATCTGTCCAACTGTATCATCTGCTTATGCTTATTTAAAACATGGTTGTAGAAAGGTTGACAAATAGGGCTCTGAAAATCTATTGAATGCATATTGGTATACTCTTATGTTTATCACAATATAGCAATGACATCCTTTACCTTTTCAAGAAAATTCAATCAAAACTTAAATATTTGTAGGTTTTGTGGCTACGTTTTCATTGCTTCCTCCTGTTTATCCACTTCCTTGAATTTCTAATGTTTGTAATGAAAAGCTGTAAGCCTACATTTTTTCAATGTTTCTAACTGAAACAAATGTTTGCATTGTTTAAGTAGGTATTTTATCTATGAATGAATAACTTAATGGCATCGCTGATCATTTTTGAGGCCTTTTGACTCTAAGTTTCTAAGTTAAAATTATAGATGCATAAAAACTGAAGATAATACCTAGGTCAGACTCTGTTGAAAAAAAAAATCCTAGCACAATCTAGCCAGTGTGTTCTTTATCTCACTGCTATTAAGTGCTGTCCAGGTTCACAGGTTTTTTCTGGAGTTGTGTGTTTTATGTTTTGGGGCTTCTTGCAAACCTTTGGCGAGTAAAGAAAGGAGAAAAGGACCTACAAGATTATGTATGCTAATAAGGATTCGTTCTGCAGAGCAGGTTAGATAAAGTAACTAAAGAAGAATCTTTTTTGAATATTTCATTGCATTCTCTTTGAGATTATTATGTAATTTGATGAATAAGAAACCTGAATTGTTTTAAAAATGAGTTTTAGACCTACTAAAGAAAACAAAGATTTCCACTAGGCGTAATGGGATTAGATTAGACCTATCAATATCAACAAGAGTACAGTGAGAGAGAATTTGTGACTGTAAAATTAGATGTGCCCTTTAGGCTTCTAATAAACAGTTTCTACTATGCAACACTAGGATGTACAAAATACTCTCTGTGCCATAATGGTATTTGTCTAATTTACTGTGCAAAACTGAGGGCTGACTTAGTTCAGTGCTGATGATACTGTAATTAGGCTAGCATCTATAACTCCTGTTTAGTATCTTTTATGGGTCCCATTTTCCTTTACGAATGAGAATAAAAGTAGCCACATTTAGGAGTTAAAAGGAAACCCTTATAAGGTTTGCACTGAGTAACTGCTGCTTCAGGGTCAGATTTTCCTCTCTTCATCATCTAGTTTCATTTCTCCTTGAGCTTGCCCCTTTCTGTCTTTGTATGTAAGAGTCCTTAGTCCTTAAACAACTTCTGGAGAACTCTTTAAAAAGTCCTTGCCACAGGAAGAAGAAGCAGCGACACAAGTGGCCTTGTACAACTGCTGTGAAGGAAAAAGTTGCACTGGTATTTAACTCTTGTGCTGCAGGATAGAGTTAGCCCACGCTGTGTTTCTTTACAAGAATCAGTACTAGCTCTTGCATTTCTGCAATGAGAATATAGGATGATAGATAGAGGATGGTGAGAAAATAGGAAGGTAAAAGGAGCTTTTTCCATATTTTATTTTACTGTGGTTCTAAAGGTTGTAATAGCTAGGTAAAGGAAAATCAAGATGTTTGTGTGAAAACTGGGCAAAGGTATGTTCATTGATTCAGTGTCTTGGACAATACTTCCTGCATTTTTGCAAAATGAATGGGAGTAGAAACTCATCCTCCTTTGCATAGCTCTAGGGACTTCAGTGAAATATGCTAATTTAAGACAATTGAGGACATCTCCTAGTTACCTCTTAATTTTATAACTTAAAATAACATGCTTGATTGACAAGTAAGCTGTCTGGTATTATTGGGTTTAAATTTTTTTTTGTTCCTCTTCTTTCCTTTCAAAGATAAACCATAATGAATGCTTCCACTGAGATACAGCTATGCAGAAACTTAAGATTTGCCAGGATCACTCTTGTGAAATTCTCTCCCACTCCATGTGGTGAATACTGCCCTGGGGTGCAGAAATTGTCCAGGTAAATCTGAGGCTCAAGTGTTTGGTAGGGCCAGACTGTTGCTGTCATAAAGAGCAACTTTCTGAGGGATTTACTGGAGATATTGTCATCTTATTCTACTCCACTAAATGCTCTTATTTTTATTTCACTAATTGAATATTGAAGCGGTCTTTCTGCTTTTATCATCATTATTCTTTAACACTTTGAAAATTTTTTTAAACTGATTTTAAAGGGGAAGGACATGAAACTGTAACAATTCTTATCTACTTTACCTGTATTCTGCCATAGAGAACTTTTCCCTCACTGACCAGAGCACCCAGAGAGTGTTCAGACAGTTGTAGCTTGGATATAGCTTGGAAGAGATACTTTCAAGAAAATACTGCACGACTGTAACTGTTCAAGCTGTTCAAGCTGTTCAAGCTAAATATTTATTTCCAGGCACGTATGTGTATGGCATATATTTGAAACAAGGAAGTTATGAAGATTTACTTGAAAGCATCATCTTGACTGCATAGTGTACAGTCTAAAACCCATTCTACTTTCCAATAGCAGGGTAAATATTTTGAATGATGTTTACAAAGTGATGCCTTCAGTCTGAGTGCAGACACTGTGAAGCCCTGATTGCTGCATTTGGTTTAAGTTGTATTTTTATCTTCACTCCTGAATTCATCTCATCTTCTTGATAAAACAATTGGTGGAGAGAACTTGAATCTGTGGCAAGGTTCTAGTTTGTCAGGCCCCGCTATCTCACCATATATTTTCATTTAGGTCATAACAATGGAATGATGTATCAAAGCTTTTTCCTCCTTCCATATTAGATGGCTTTATGCAGCCAATGTTATATTCATTTCTTTTTAAAATGCTGCATTTTAGGGACCTTAAAGGTAAGATCATTGGATTGTCGTTTAACCAATCTTTCCTTTAGCTAATGTGCTATTTTTCATCCTGAAATAAAGTACTAAAATCAATAAACCACTGTGGAGAGGCATTTCCTAGGTTTAATTGCATATATCTGCTAATTCATTCAATTACTGCCTTACGTAGCCTTTGTTTTCCCAACACCTCATGATTAGCTGTTGTCAAATGTGCAGTACTGTACAGTGGTTTGACTCTTTCAGTGTCTAGGAGAAAATTTTCTGAAGCTATTTCCTGTAGATGCAAGGAGATAAATTGCCAGAGGTAACATCTGTCCTGATGCATAAATTTCATTGTAGCATTTGACTACCATATTAGAGTAGCCCTGAAACTCTGTTCCCTGCTTTTGATATATGAGTGCTGGTATTTCTAGATTATTGCATCTCTTCTATCTGACAAACTTGCTGTGGACACATTATATTGAGGAAAATCTTCACTGCAGTTATGCTGGTTTTCTCGTGCGCTGTTCCCTGTCCCAGTAACTTGCAGCAGCGAGAACAGCATGGGATTCATTTTGGAATGTTAAGGATATGTGGCAGTTTCCTATGCCCAGAAAAGTCCCAGGGTCTTTCTGATTTCTAAACCGTTATCTGTAGACGCACCAGAGCTCTTTGAGAGAGAGTGCATGGATATAATGCTCTATTCTTTTTCTTATAGTAATTCTTAGTTGCTGTTTCTTACTATTGTAATAGTAATTAACCTTTAAACTCTCTTTAAAATATAATCAGTTGCTTTGAAATGATTTGCTCCAGCACTTTAGAGCTCTTAGTCACCCATGTTTCCTTCTGATAAAGTTTTCTTGTGTCATCACAAGTGTCCAGAAAAAAACTATTTTCTTTGCTCTTTTCATTTTCATTCTGATGTCTTTGGAGCGCTGAAGAATGAGTGAGACAAAAGACGCTTTTTGTAGCCACTGACAATTTGGCTCTTTACCCCAGAAGAGAAAGGTGCCT